GCATGTGTTCTCTGCTGTCCTTCCTTTTTTCCATCAAACATCTCTTCTCTGTAAAGGTTATTAGAGAAGTCAACTAGGATTGATGGATGGAGATGGAAGGCGCTCAGAAGCACATCTCTCTCACACTCATCTTCATCTTAGGTGTTGTTACTGACAGTAGAGGTCCAGCCGAGGAGATGGATGGATGGACCTGCTCTCCGTACTGTACTTCTTTTACAGAGGGTAGCGCTGCATCTCTGAGAGCACGCTAGTTACAGTCTTTTTAGTTTAGACGACTTACAAAACATTATTTTAACACTATGGGCTACAAAACATGAGTGATGTTAATGGGAAAATTTTTAATGTAATCCCGGATACCTGCGTGGATTTGCCTACTACAGTAATATGCTGTGAGTAAGTACTCAAGGTGCCGCGGGCTAATGGCAGCCGTTTTAATGAGAGATGATGCCAATAAATTGATATATTTTCCGCTCACCTTAGTCCTCTGCAGCTGCAGTTAAAAGGATTGACTCAGCCTTCACTAACCTTGTATTTGACTTGAACTGTCATTAGCAAATCAAAAGCAGATTAATTAATCACAGGGTCCACTGGGGTGTGCATTACCGTAAGTGACTATTGTAATATAACTTAGAGAGAAATCACACATGATTTCTCATCTTGACACCAGAATGAATGCTTTGCTACTTCCAGGAGTGCTGCTGCTGTCATCAAGATGGGGGAAATGGATTCTGTAAGTGGTGGAGAGTCTATTAGAGCATTAATTCTGCTACAAATGGAGCTCTGCTCTAATGGTCAACACTTGTATCTCATCTGATCTTCTTCAAGTATTTTCCGCTCCGCTGCACCTATTACGCCACCTTCCCTGCCTCCTTTCCTCAAATTCGTTTTCCTGAAAAACACACTGCTCCTCGGCCTTGGCCTACAGGGAAAAAGCGAACATGTTGGTTTAGTTTGACCGACAGGGTTGGAAACTGTTATTCAGTGTGAGCACATACATGAAAGCTCTGTTCCAAGTGCCAGTGTTTGTCGTACATCTGTGTTGCTGTTCTGCCTCGAGCTTGGATGCTTTTCCACTCATTTGACATTTGAAAACAAACCGTGACTCACTTAGTCGAGGGAAGAAGATGCCGAATCACAGTGAGGCCGGTGGATTACAGCTTGAAGCAAGCGAGATCCCTGGAAGATGTAGTCTTTTGTAAACATGGGGCAGTCTTATCTTTGTGACCCCCACAAGCATCACACGGTGTCCTTTCTTACATCTTTACATGCCCTTCTTTTCCTATTCTTTTTTCTCTGTCTGAAAAATAAGTGGCGCTATTACCGTTACCACATTGCAGCCACCCCATTGGTGTACTAATAGTATCCCCTGCTGGCAACAGAGGGAACACAAAGACAAACAAAAGTATTCAGTTCTGCAGTATATCACTGTTTTTTGTTATTTTTTGACAAAAGTGAAATGTTTTCAAAGACATCAGACAAAGTAATATTAGTAAGAACTGAAGCAGAAAACATACATGAATGTAGCCACACTAACTTACTTTCACAGGCTGGGAGCACAGTAATTAAATATTACCCCACTAGAGGTCACTACTACTTCATATTCAATATCAACATTTATTTTATGACAGGTATATCTTTTGATAAATAACAGACCTAATTGACTTCCCATTTAAGATGATACAGTGCACTATGCAGCTACAATCAAATCCTCAGCAGATATTATGACTCATTGTAGAGTCCACCACTCAAGACATAGTAGTCACCACAGCCTGTTTACATATGTATTTGCATTTAGTGTATGCAGTCTGTATAAGCATAATTGATATAGATTGTGGAGCAGAGTTCCTCTTCAATGCAAGTTCCCAAATACCTCTGCCATGCTGAGTGGCATGAAGAATTTAAAATAATTTGTTCAGTTAAAGTTAGTCAGATCAACAGAAATACAAATGCTAAAGAAATTGCATTTAGAATCATTTTTGACAGCATTTTGTCTCCTTTTCAAAACATAATTTTATCGATTTTTTACAATCTCAGTTAAGAAATGTTGAGCTAATTTGAGGACGTATCACTAGAGCTGCAACACGTTGAAACTGTCATTTTAGAGCCAAAAACGTTTCACCTAACACAACAGATTGCCTTACGCCATCTTACATTTGTTACTAATTAAATTACTGCGCGAGTGAGATCTTTCTAAAACTGCGGGGTAAAGGTTATTTTGAGTGGGGAAAGCATTTCAAAAATAAAGGCGGGATGTTTTTGTTTTTCTTTCCAGAAATTTCAATTAACAATATTTTCAAAATAATATTCTTATACCAATATGCAATTGAGCAAGGAATATATATTTGTTATAGTGGCATCACAGAACACGCGCTCACATATCCCCACGCACGCACCAACGAGACCCGTAATTAAAAAAAAGAAACTTTAACTATTTACTGTTAAGGTGCACTCAGTTTGAAATAACGTTGCTCACATAAAGCCGAGTCAAGGGCAAAGGGGTAACCGGTGAAAGAAAATAAGTTCCTAGAAAAAAAACGGAAGAGTGAGGTGGGACGCGGTTCAAACAGAGATTCCTCAGAGGCTTAACTTCTCCGCTCAGCGCACAGCCATCACAAACTCAGAGAAACACGGCAGTTGATCTCCTGTCATCCAGATAACAGCTCAGCGGACTGAAGGAGTCATTCATTCTGACATGTCACTTTGGTGAAGTTTTTGCGACAGCAGCAAGAGGTGAGTGGCCGTGGCGCTGACAGTTCAGGTCTCTTGGTTGCATCTTTTTGTTTTTGTTTTTGAGGATACACTTGGAAGCACTTCTTGGATTCATTTCCCAATAGAATTGCCTTAACTTTAACTTAAATATTGGCCTTATACTGTTTCCATGGACTAGTTAACTTTCAGTCATCATAACAAAATATGTTTTCTTACGGAAGCAACTTTTATGTTGGTTAATATTTATTTTTGAAAAATATATTTTACACAGTTAACTTGCTGAGTGGTTTTCTCCACGTTTGAGGTTGTATTTTACAAAGTCTGTGTATTTGTTTGTGTAATATCATATTTGCCGTTTTAATTCCACATTGAAATGTACCCTTTATTTGATGAAGTATATATTTTATGTGTTGTTGTTTTGAATAATTTCCTAGGTATGAGCAGTGGATTATTATATGAAGCAAACTTGGCAAACTGCAGCAACTTGAATCAAGTTCCTGCACGCAGAGCTTCTGGTGACTTTGCTCCAGCCATGAGTGGAAAGGGTTGTCAGCTCCTGGTGTCTCCTTGCAGCGTGTCCCCATCATTAAGCATGATCAGAGGACACCAGTCCCCATCCATCAGAATATCCATGCCTTCACCACAACGAGCCGATCTTAGTTACTCCTCGGGCATGGAGAAAGTGAAAACAGGTGCCATCCACTCCTTTGTTTCTGGGACACAGAGCGGAGGCCATGTTGTCCTGCCGACCCTGAGCCTCCGCAGACAGGTGTTGACCAACGGGACACATCTAAACATTTCGACTGCATCCCTACAAGTGCCTGCTCATCATCCCACAACCAAAAGAGTGACACCCGCCATACAGACGGGACGCTGCTCCTCTAACAACAACTTCAAAGGTAAAAACAAAGGTTAAAAATATCTAATCAACCCAGGATGTGCGAGTACAATGCAAGGTGTAACTTTACTCTACAGAACAGTATTTTAATACTTCAGTATTGTGATGTTGTATACTAAACTACAACTGAGTTACTAATCGTATCTTCATACTTCACTTATTCTCAGTATGCTCTTCACAACCTTACTGTCTTGCAAAACATCTTGTTCCTTATGTATTGATAATTAACCAGGCATAAAGCTTGTCCCTAAATTTTCTACCGAGGAAAAATGGAAGGAGGTGAAAAGCTCATTAGTGATTAACAGAGCAGAAAGTGTCAGGTTGGTGAGGGAAATTCCACAATCTGCTGTATAACCCTTAGTTAAAGCAGACTTAATGTGATGTGTTTGAGTTTTTATTTGCATTTTTTAGTGTAATGTCTTTTCCAAATAATTGTGTACTTTTATGTTAACACTTGGAATTCATCTGTAGGGATTTATTGAAAGTGGATACAAGTTTTGTTGCTCTGTTGTAACCTATATACTTTCATAAGGTATCTCCCATATGGATATTCTGTTTATTGAATTTTGGGCTTGTGTCCAGCCGATTGCTCTGGGTCTGGGCCTACCATGGAAGTCTTTGGTCAGCCAGCCGCTGCTAATCTGACGGTGACCAGCAGCCCCATGACTGTTGTCACAGGCCGACGGTATACTGCAAGGCCTGCAGCACAACAGCCCCCAACACATCCACACAGTGTGCAGATTCCCCACACTGATGCCAGGTGGGCAATATCAATAAAAGTATGTGATTGTGATGATGAGCTCACTAAACCTTAAGAGCGATACTAAAGTGGATAACAACAATCTGTTTCAGATCCTTACATTCCAGAGAATCCCTGGCATCCACTACCCTAAGTCTGTTTGAAACACAGTCTATGTTTAGTGGCAGACATGACTGGTCGTATGGCTACCGTGTGCTTCCTCCACTGGGTCTACCTCAGTGCTCCGCCCAGGCCAGCGAAGGAGGTGAGCAGCTCAGCCTTCCCCCTGGCACGGCCATGTCCGGCACGACCATATCAGGTGGCACCAGCACCTCCGCCTCGCTGCCCTCGTATCTTTTTGCAGGTGATGCTGGAAGCCCCAGGCAGTCACGGGCTAAGAAGAGAGCGCTCTCCATGTCGCCTTTGTCGGATGTCATGGGCATTGATTTCAACTCCATCATACGCACCTCACCTACTTCACTTGTGGCCTATATCAATGGCTCCCGCAGCTCTCCAGCCTCCCACACCACACTCTCACCTGTCCAATCTGAAGGTTATGGTCACTTCCTGGGTGTGAGAGGCCGCTGCATCCCCCACGCCCATCCCTACAGCATGCCAGGCTCTTCGCAGGCTCTGGCCCCTCAGACGGATTATGGCCGTATGCAGATGCTTGAAGAGGGAGGGGGTCTGGAGAGCCAGATGGCTAACATGGTGGTGGACCAGCAGTGCCTCCCTGGGGAAGGAGGGTCACTGGAGAAGAGAGCAGAGAGCTGCAGCCAAACCACCAACAATCTGCTGCCACCTCCACAGTTACAGCCAGCCCTGCTGGCTACTATCCAAGAGGCTGCTATTCCACAGGGGCCTCCACCACCCTACCACTCACACCAGCACATCCTCAATAGACAGTACTATAAAATAAAGTCCCCTTCTCAGTTCCCTCCAACACAAGTTCATCACAGGCATGGGGTGAACTTTCTACCCCAGGTCCCTATGCTGGAGGAAGAAGAAGGAGAGCTGGAGGACTATGGGGCCCACTGCTGCAGGTGGTTGGACTGTAGTGCAGTCTACGACCAAAGGGAGGAGCTGGTAAAGCACATAGAAAAGCTACATGTGGACCAGAGGAAGGCTGAGGATTTCACATGCCACTGGGTGGGCTGTCCACGCAACTTCAAGGCCTTCAATGCCCGATACAAGCTTCTTATCCACATGAGGATCCATTCGGGAGAGAAACCCAACAAGTGCACGGTACACCATGTCGATCACAGCTATGTCTCTTCTCATGCTACAGAAGTATATCTATCTATCTATCTATCTATCGTCACATTTCTTTGCCTCTAAGAAATAAGATCCCATATGCTATCTCCCCTCTCAACAATACAGCACGGCTCTCTCTAAATCAGATGAATATCTTTTTACTAAGTTGTGAGAAGACGGAGTGAATGCAGTCAAAGCAGGAACATGATGAATGTCGGGGGCTGACTGAGACCAATTCTCAATGTTCCATTCAAAGCCACAGTACCTAGCTGAAGGCTTTCAAGTCTCAGACTTTTTTGTGTACTCTATGTTTATAGCCAAGGTTTAGGTAAAAAATATGGCCTCTCTCTCCTCTTAACTTTAGCCATGCAGTAATTAGCAGAGCACTGTGATAATTGACATGGGAGTTAACTCAATTATGTAGTTATTAAATCAGCACAAAGGAAGCCTCGCACTTTAGATCTGGCATGGCACCATGGCTCTCTAGTATAGCCACTGGGCAGCAGTGTCAGCTGCAGGGGTCCTGCCAGGCCACCGTCTGACAAACTTGGCCACCGTTCTGGGAAGGTGATGCCCCCATAGTCTGGATATCTATAGGTCTGCATCTGTGGCCAAAGAGTTGGCATTTATCCATGGGGCGGATTATTGATGAAATGGTAGCTTTGTTTGTCCAATGTCGATGAGCTGTTTCAGTTGTGTTGCAATTTAATGAGTTTTAAATTCAATGTGGGATTATTAAAAACAAGACACACCAGCAGGGGCGTTTCTAGGATTCATAGAAAGGGGAGTGGCATGTTTGCGCACGTAGCGTGCGGCAATTTTTTTGGGGGCCCATTTGGGGCCGCGGATATCCATTGTTTCAGATAGTTCATAGATTGGTTCAATCAGAAAGAGAGTGATTTTGCTCTATAGTTTTATTTGCATTCAGTATATGATAACACAAGAGGCAGAATTTCAGGGTCATAGTGAAATTTGACAACACAAATATGAACTTTTCTCAAATAAAGAGAGAGAAATAATTTTCCTGCTTGTAAAGGAAAGACGGATAAACTAGCTTTCATGTCCGCGTCACTCCCAAATCCTAATTCTTAAAGGGGCTGCACACAATGGATGGAGAATGGACCTGACAGTGTCAACTTTATATCGTTAAGTATGATGATAGGCTATTGGATTGTAATTTGAAGGGGGAGAAAACATACAAACCAGAACGCACGCACATATGTAGCATGTTAGAGTTATAAATAACTTGTCCATGTGAGAAACAATAGTTTAATTTAATGACATCACCAAAAAAAAAAAAAAAAAGTTTTCTTTTTTTTTTAAAGCCAATAATGCCAAATTATTTGGGGGGGCTGAAGAACATTTTAGGGGGACTTCAGCCCCCCTAAAACAGGCCTAACGACGCCCCTGCACACCAGTACTTCGAGCTAGATGCTTGTGTCAGCATGCAAACATGCTCACATAGACAATGCATAATATGCAGATGTTAAGCAGGTGCAAGGTCACCATTTTCACTATGTTAGCTTAGTGTTGCTAATAAACAAATACAGCTGAGGCTGTTTTATAACCAAATAACTGCAAAGCTAATGACATTCCAAAGAATCAGATAATTATAATTTGAACCCAATAGTGGCGTTATATAAAATGTCTGGGGATCACCTAATTAATTTAAATTCACCAGAAGGGGGCCATGAATGTCTCTACCAAATTTCATCGCAATCCATCCAATAGCTTTTTAATATTTCAATAAAAGTGGTGGTGGTGATAAAAGAAATGTCAAAAGGACCACCACAAATCAGTGGGATTCATCCTGTTGTTTCATGTGTTCATGGAGCCATGCAGCTAGAAGCTAAAAAAATATGAATGGAGAGTACACAACTCTGAATTCCCTCCTTTGTTTTTGTTTTTTGTCACTCCCACCGGGAAAATACCGCAGACTTAGATGAGTAATTGACAAACCACTCGCAAAACATGCCTCATGTCGCTGCTTTCAACAAGTCAGTTATTAACGGCGTGCATACCTGCAATCGACCTTTGGTACCAAAATACTCACTTATTAGTTGAAGCCCGCTCTGTTGCCATGGGGCCGCAAACGTTGGATGGGTCTGTGTTCCATGTAATCATTCAATAAGTATTCATGGTCACAACCCATTGCCAAAAACAGAATTGTAACAAAGTGGTACTTGTATTTGTGGTATAGTCAATATAGGACCGGCTTATTCTCGGGAAAGAGAAAAGCCAAGCACGCTACAGTTATCTTTCCTGCACTTTGAACATTATATCAAGAGTGCAGGCTTTGTCTTTCTTTACATGAGTATTTCATATATCTTTGCACGAGTATGTCAATGTGTTTACATGTACTCCCTTTGATATTTTAAAGTTGCGCTTCAACGATAGAATTTCACAGAACAGTTAGAAAAGCTAACTTGAGTCTTCAAGTCAAGATGCAGCACTCACGATTTCCTTAGGAAATGATTGGCAGGTGAATAAACTGATGTATGGTAAAGTGCGAGGCTGCAGCAGAACAATAGGGAAGCTCTTGTTACAAAGTGAACATCTAGGGCAGGCCCAGGCTTGTACCTGTCGTCTCACAAATCCGTTTAATGAGGATGCAGCTGTTTGTTAACATACTCTCAACTCACCAGTCTGTCACTGTGATTTAAACATGTGACGTTTTAAAAGCAGAGAGTGAACTTAAAACCCAAACAAGAGATTCCTACAGTCATTGTCGGTTAGCTTGTTAATTATGATTTTACATTCTTTAATATCATTCTGTGCTATTAGCTTGTACATTGTGGCTGGCGTGTTTTTTACTTCTACTCCAACACAAAAAAACATCCACTCAATTAATTGAAGTTGTAATGAGTAAATTGTGTTTTTACTGAATTCTACATATACTGCTTGTTCAGTAAAACAATAATTGTACCCAGTGACCTTCAGTTATTGGCAAAGTTGGCCAAAATGTACTTCATCTTCTTTCAGAATGAGTTACTAATAATGCTGTGATCAATCAGTGCATTTGCACCAGTATGGTGAAAATTAAACAGTAGTTCCCTGCTAATCCACTAAATTGCCGTACATGAGCAGCTTGTAATTTAAGGCTTGTGAACACTGAAACTCAGGTCTGATTAGATTTCAGGTTTCACAACATCCTTACAATTGCTTTGAGGGAGCTAACCAAAGAAAATAGTGCTTTAGTATCTGGAATACGCTTTCACATCACAGCTAGGTCATTATTTATCTTTCGTAAACAAAGCCGCTTATTGATCCGGAACGCTGAACTCCCTCCTCTGTTCCATGAAAAGTCCCATGAGGTGTTTTCTAAAATTGTGACAGCAAACTGATAGTGTGCTACATATTAATTAAAGTATGTCAAAGATGTTTCATTTAAATAAATATCTGTTAAGTCACAATCTATCGCCTAATGAAGTAACAATGATGATTCGGTCCACGGCCCACTAATGAAATATTTTGCATCTGCAGGACGTATAGTATAATATTTTAATTATTACTAAAACGTGACACAGTTTGGATCTCTGAGAAGTGAGATCCAATAAACACGCCTGAAATCACCACTTAGCGCCATAGGTAGAGATTGTAACTATTAGTAGTTGTGGCAAAACTATTATTTCTCATGTAACACTCCTCCAGGAATGTACGAGTCAGTGGAGAGAGGGAATGAAAAGTTTAAAAAAAAAATATATACAGTATAAGGAAACGGGTGAAACAAAAAGAGCAAAGAGGGTAGAAACATCACTTGTGAAAAAGGGGAGAGTGGAGTCCAGAGTGAATTGACCTCATGCTAAGACTGGGCATTGGACAGACTCTGCTGGCACAGACTGCCGCTGCCATTGTTCAGCCAGGGCATGAGTACCTGCCAGAGCCTGTCAGAAGCTGGCCGTAACACTGATCTACACCGAGGAGCCATGCTGCTTTCTTTTCAGCCCAAACGTCCCTCACGACAAACTAAAAAAGCCCTCAGCGCTTTAGGAGAGCTTTATGAGACATAGAAAGAGAGTTACACAGTTACCCAACCCTGGCTAGGCCTGGGGTCTTTGAGCTCTATGCTGGTTCTCACTTGTCTGACCACTTTGCTTCTGAAAGACTTATTTATCATCGTCTGCATTGCTTTTTTTGTGGTATTCTAGCTAAGAATTTAAACTATGCATTGGTCAACTTTGCAAGACCATCCCCCTATTAAGGAGCATTTATCATAGTAGACCAGTATTGGAAAGTGAAATGGTGAGTATAGGGGTTACGTGATGCATTTGTCATTTTGTGCTTCTCTAAACGTTCATCTTTCAATTAAATCTATTGGCTTTGACAACATTTTTAATAATTCTTCATATTCAGCGCTGGTAAATCTAGATCTTAAGCTTTTATAAAAATGTCCAGAATACAACCACCATCCATTTAACATTCAACAGTAATTGTCATAACATTCAATTGTGCCAATATCTTTGCTTTAAAACAAAGTTTGGTAAAAAAGCGATGTGACTTTTTTTTTTTATTTCCAAGTTCAATTGAAGAATAGATGTCAGGAGATAGCTGTGTGGTGATCATAAAGAAAGGCAGGTAATTATATGTGGAATGCAGAGGAATATTGTTAGTTAACTATAAATGGGCAGAGACATTTTGATTTGACTTTGGCCGTGATGACTGAGAGGTATCAGTATGTCAGGAATCTAGTCTTTGAGGAAAAAATAACAAAACTGGTCATGGTCTGTGTGATTTTCTCCAGAAAGCCGAGCAATGACATTCCAACCCCCCTGTGATCAGGAAGAGAGGAGTAAAGTCCTGGTCTCACAAAGTGGACAGACATATTAAGCACTAAAGTCACTGTGGTCGCATGATACTGCAGTGTATGTATGTTATACGAAATATATATCTATATATAGATGTATAGATACAGATATTGAGATATGTAATGTAGTCATTCTTCAGTCTGAGGATTGCTGTAGATCTATGTACTGTATAGTAGATGTGACTTCACTTGTGTTGTAACTGATAGCTACCAGCCGCTGTCAAGGGGATGCAAGATGGATTCAACACACAAATGACAGAACAGTGATGTGTGTATGAACACTGCCCCCTGCTGGTGACACAACTATCAGAAATGTGTCTTTGAGAATATATTTGTGTTAAGAATGAAAAAAAAATGTATATTCTAAACAGTAGGCAAGTAAAATGACTTTCTCGCATTTTATTTAAACAGATTTGAAAGTGTTGCAATTAAAACACCTAAGTAGATATCTCCTCTTCATGGGGTGGTGTGCTCTGTGTGTCCAACTAAGTTACATGCTCACAATATACTCCAATAAATGTAATCTTAACAATAACATCCATGTGTGTAAAAAATAGGCACAGTGATCTAAATAAGTATTGGAAGTATAAAGTCACAAAGAAATGCAGCATTATATTGGCTGAGGGAGTAATGTGGTTGTATACTAATCAAACAGAGAGAAGCGATACAGTAAAGTCTGCTCACGACTAATAATAGCAGAGACTTGCAGTTGTGACAAGGTATAAACTTGCCTAAAATGCAAAAAAACTAAAATGCACCCGTCTCTCCCAAATGTTTACATCTTTCAGGGCTTTACTGCTCCATAGCTGCTCGCCTGTCAATCACGATACTACTACAGCAGTGAGCAGTCAGGACTTACATTCGTGCCAGTTGAGACTAAATGGCAGTAATTGTATCCATTCAAAAGGTTCTCTATATTTCCTCTTTCACTCCCTCCCACACACTGAGGTCAGCAGGCCTTTGTCTGCAGCGACTTTCAGCTAATAAGCTCATAGCTCCAGGTATATGTGAAACATCATGTTGGAGATAATTGCAGAGCTTATATTAGATCAGGGGTCACCAACCTTTTTTAAACTGAGAGCTGCTTCAAAAGGTACCGAGTAGTACAAAGGGCTACTTATTTGATACAAACTTCCTGAACAACAAAATTGCACAGATCACCTTAACAATAATAATAATATATGTGAAGAGACTGTTTGATCACATGTCAGTTAATTATTCCTCACAATAATTATTAAGAATGATTTCCACAACAATGATGGTATAGCTACACATACATATTTAAACATGCAACTTTTATTTCTGTTAATCTGTTTCAACATTTGAAAGTCAGAGGTATCACATCTCTGATATCTTTGTATCATCACATGATTAAAGCCGGTTACTTTTGCACATAGCGTCTGCTGGTGAATGATCCAGTGGTAGCCTAATGTAGAAATTTTGCGAAGTCTGGGTCACCTTTGCATTGCGCAATGAAGCCTGCATGCCGGCCCGTCATCGCGGGAGCCCCGTCTGTTGTCACCGACACCAGCTTTTCCAACGGTACCTTTTTCTCCACGAAGAAACCAGTAAAAAGTCTGGTCTATAGCCGAGCGGGGGATCCAACCCTCCGAGGCGCGCGAGCGTCTTCGGGCGCCCGCGTTCAAACCTCTAGTCTGGGCCTTTTCGCTCTGATTGCGTTGCCTCGCCTCTACCCCCGCCACCCCTGAGTTGTTGCCCCGCGGCCTGTTCCGAGGATTTACGGACCTGACGACGGGGTGCGCTCGCGGCTCGCGTCTGGCACCAACGGGATGCGCCCGCCATTCAGAACCTGAAAACCTAGTGCGGTGCGGCAGCCTCGTCCTGGCTGTCCGCCGTGCGCCTCCGGGTACCCAACTCTCTTAACTCTCTGCAAGCGTTTTTGATTAAAAAAGAACAGCAACTACAATTTTAGACGGAGCTCCAATGGTGACTAGTGCTATTTTTAGAACATGTCTTGCGGGCGACTCACGTGGTCCCTGCGGGCGACAGGGTGCCCGCGGGCACCGTGTTGGCTACCTCTGTATTAGATATTGCACTGGAGGGAGTCAACGGGCAAACGCCTCATTGGCCCCCAGGCCTGTTTTAAATGTAGTAGAAATACATTTTTGGCAACCTGATAGCAATGTCCTGCTTAGACAACGTTTGCTGTGTTTGTATGCGGTTACAGTTCGAGGGCTGCAAGAAGGCTTTCTCTCGACTAGAAAATCTGAAGATCCACCTGCGTAGCCACACGGGGGAGAAACCCTACATGTGTCAGCACCCAGGATGTCACAAGGCTTTCAGCAACTCAAGTGATAGAGCCAAGCACCAGCGTACACACCTGGACACAGTGAGTGGCAGCCTTGCACAAAACACGCTCAATAATCGATGGGATTTCAAAGCTTATGTGTGTGTTTTTGCCTCCAAGTGGAGTCCGACAAGTTTTCACATGTCTGTGGTTGTACAGAAGCCATATACCTGCCAGGTGCCTGGCTGTGCAAAGCGTTACACTGATCCCAGCTCCTTGAGGAAACACGTGAAATCCCACTCGACTAAAGAACGGCAGTTACGGAAGAAGGTACAGACTGCAGTTTGTGCTGTAACACAATTCACTCGATTTTTCCAAGCACTATTGTTCTTGAGAATGTATTTTAATGAAAAACGTATCAAGTACACAACTGAAAGAACGTGTAAGCTGTCTTCTTCTGGAAAAAAAAAAAAATGGATTTGTAAAAGACATTAGCTGGGTCCAGGGGGCCAAATCTCTTTAGTGATGATTGAAAGTAGACACCGATAAACAAAAGAAAATCTATATCAACCCATCATGTCATTATGCTTTCTTTTCCATAATTAGCTGACAGTATTGTGCATTATACTCTCTGTGATGTGCTCTCCATCCCACTCTCTTTAACTCTGCTAACTTAACTGTTCACGTCATTTACTTTAATTTCATTGCAGTCAGATGAAAAATACATCCACTTGCCCTCACACTGAGCTAGGTTGCAGAAAAATACACATAATTATGTTGTTTGTCGGATCTTTGTCCCATTTTCACCTCCTTTATTTTCAACTAAGGTTGAGTCAATTTTAAAGATTCATTATGGCCATGCAGCGCTTCAGTTCAGATTGCAACATGTGTGTGTGTGTGTGAGATGTATTCTCTTTAGCTCTTACTGAGGGTGATGTCACCATAGATACAAAGAAGGTGGGTAGTTACTAAAAAAGGTGACATTTTACAAAGTCTCCCACATGCACGACTTCTCTTGTCTAAACCTAAAATAAATATGTTTATAGTAATTGGGATTCAACTGATGCTCTCTCAAGATTGAATGCGTTATACATTTGTTTCTTTACTGCAAAATTCTAACATTTATACTGTCCATTAGTCGTTTCTTGTGTAATAATATCAGAAATAGTTCTGATGGTAGAAAACAAGCTTTGAAGCCATTATCCTTAAGATGTTCATATTGTTTGATACTATTTTTGGCTGGCATGTATTCTGCTATAGCCCTTATATCCAAATAAAAAAAAATATACAGAGCACAGCATGAAAGCACAAAGGCACTATTCATGATAAAGGTGTGACAGAAGTAATATTCTAGAATCTAGATAGAACAATCACAGTCGAATTATAATACGAATCAAAGGAAATTCTTCCAGAATACCCTTGCTGTATGTATTTTGTCCACTGCTGTTATGGATTATGCTCCATGTGCCTAGATGAAATCCACTGCTGATGTGACTCAAGACACGCTGACAGACTGTTTAACCATCCACCCTCTGCAACCAAGCCTTTCTCCACTGGCGAGGATACACTTGAACTCTCCACCTTGTGCATCCCACGAGTCATATTTTGGTCTGGGTAAATTCTGGCTCTTTGCATTAATATGCGTTTGATGTGAAAACTAGAGACTTTAGCATATCCCCCTGCAACCATGTGCACACAATAGGTTTATCCATTAGATTTAGGCTGTGGTGGACAGCCCTGAAGTGTCTGTCTTCCCTGTTCCTCAGCTGCTCCACAGGGACGAGACTCCTCCAGCAATCCTCACCTGGCTCTGTTGTGCTCCTTACAAGATGAATACAGGTACCGAGGATTTTTGTCATTTAAGATAAAACATTCAAGCCACTTTACTATTCATCAATCCATGCATTCATATCCCATAATAGGACAGGAATTCCAACTACATTTTACGGGGAAAAAGGTCACTAAAAGCGTGCACATGCCCATTCAAAAGTAAAAAAGACAAAGTTGTGGAATACAACCACAAGCAGCAACAGTTATAGCCGTTAGCCAACTGGTATTTTCTTTTGATGTTGTATTCCCATTGACACAGTAAGAACTTTAACCATGACTGATTTAAATGCGTCACACGTCTTTTTTTCTCCCTTTTGATGATCTGAAACAATCAACTTAAACATTGGTTGTCATGGCGGCAAGACTATAAGCTCATAATTAGAATAATCAGTTTAAGAGAAAGCACCATTTTGTACCCTGATAAAAGCGTCTAGCTGGGGGGGTTTTGTTGGTTTTCAGGGTGTGCTGTGGCTGGGAAGAGGCTTTACAGGTTTGGGACAGCCAGCAACTCATTTCCCTGGTCAATCCATCGGAAAAACACCCCTTCATCTACAAACTTCAAAAGCATGTGATGAAGTATTTCAAGTCGCTCTGAGCAGCCAGATGCTCATGGCTCCTCACTGGTTGGGATTGTTCTCATATCAGCAGTAGGCCAAAGCATTCACTGCAGGGTTCTGGGAAGACAATTGGCCTGCGAAAGCAGACCTTGCCTTGGCTCATTGGTCTTGACTACTGGCATTAAAAAGGATGCTATAGCCACCGACAAGAGCGGCTAAGGAATTCAATAAGTGAAACATAGAATCTAAAAAATACCATTTAAAAAAAGGTCCAGTGTGAGAAGAGAGACGCTGCAATTACTTTTTTAGAAAGTTAAATTGATTGTAAAATCCTTGTTGCCATTTTCAGTACACTGTTCTGGGATTATTTTTGGTTCCCATTCAGTCCTTGCATATTGTCAACAAACTCTGGCTCCTTCAGTATTCTTGTTATTGGAAAGTGGACATGCAAAAGTGTTACTTGGCCAAACCTAACAGCAGGGGTGTCAGCTCCCATGGTCACTGAACAATATTTACATTTACTAGTATAATCCGCTGTATTTAACAATCTGTTAAATCAATCTGAAAGTAATGTTCTTGATTTTCTTAATGTTGTAACAATGAGCAACAGAGGCATAATGGTCTGTATCACATTGTAACGTGAAAAATGTATTGCTATAACGAGACATTTTCACGTTATGACAAGAAACTTGTAATGTGAAAAACACCTTGATTTAACATTTAAAAAAATATCACACGATAACGTTACACTGATCTGTTTTATTGTTTCTGGCGTGGCAATACGCTGCCGTACATATACATACAGCAGAAAATATGAAAGCTGTAATTCTCTCATTACGTGCGCGTAGAAAAGCAGACAAAGTTGATAGAGGAGCCTTCTGCATTCTATTAAGTGGTTCTTTCAAATACGAGTAATGTTGTGCATCTCATCTGCATCATTCAAGCAAGTAAAGAATTGCCTGAGGACAATCATGAATGATGATTGGTGTATCTAATGCAAATGGTTGCTGAAGTGTGTGTCAAATTAACACAGGCTGTGTGAAACCGTCACCTGGTCATTACCGCATGAAGGATTAATTAATGCTTTTTATGTAGTCTAACTGGTAATCATGCGTTTGTGTGAAAGTGGTGGTAACATGGAATTGGAAAAATACAGTTTGTTTAAGTGCAATGTTTGCCAAAACATTCTAGTTGAAGTTTGGTTTTTGATTTCTTTAACAGAAAAGTGGTTTAAAACATAAAATGATAGCCTTTAATAGTGATGTCTTTACATTTAGATGATTTCATTACATCTTTATAGAGACAAAAATGATGTTGCCTGACTTTGTTCTTTACCCATCATACACTGATTCATATACAACATAGAGGATGCGCACAACAAAGGCAACACCTGTAGAATGTATTGCATTTCAGTCCTTTACCCGTGCAAAAATACTGCCTCCTTAAGGCTTACAGAATATTCTATAAACCTTGATTCCATTCAGTGGGTTATAGATTTTAATGTGAGAAATATTTAGGAATCTTTTTATATTAAAAAAACATAACATACACCATACAGGATAATGTAATCCAGCCTCAAATATACCATACATTTGAATCATGAAATGCCGCTCAAAACTACAATATCTACATTATTAACATTGTTTTGGATGTTACTGCACGGTTCACAGTATGTAAATAAGTAATAATTAGTTGTTTTTTTTAATAACAAAAACCTACATTGTTCTTTTTCTTTATTCAACAAGCAACGTTATTAATTCAGTCTGAAATATTTCAGGTTTGTTGATCCCTCCCCTCACCAGCTCCTCCCCGGGGACCGGTGCGGGCCTTGCCCTCCCACCTGCCTCCCTCGTCCTCCCAATGGGACATCCCTACAGAACAAGCGAGATCTGAAGCAGCCCAGCCAGCCTCCTGATATGGCAGAGCACAATCCAGGTACTCGGAGGTTAATCATCTTATTGCCAAATCGATGTGAATACAGTTGTGCTTCTGAAAAAGGGTTAATAGTGTATGTTTCACATCTGAAGAGCCTATTAGTAAATGTCTGGGCGACTTGACAATCTGAAGTGATTTCTTTTTCACATGCACATTAATTATTATATCTTTCTGATGTATAGCAGGTGGCTGGTGTTTTTTCTTGTTAGACAGAATCAGGCAGCTCCACTCTATGTACCTTTAAATAGATATCACCTCTTTTCCCTGCGGACTTGACAGCCACCGTGATGTTGACAAGGTTTTCAGAAACACACACTTCAGTTTTATCCGTTACTGAAATAAAGACAGGGTTTGAAAAGATAAATTTACGAGGTCTAATGTTACTTTCCTACAGGAATGTGTGATATAAGGAGAAAAACTACAGACTTTAATTGAGTTGTTCTCTACGATGTGGATAAAAGAGTGAAGCTTTTACATTTTCCCCGTAGAGCTCTCAGGGCAGATTACAATGATATATTCTCCTCCACAATATGGCGGGATCGCAGCACGGACCAGCTCAAGTCACCTGATGCAGGTTGATGCCTTTGGTGACAGCCTCGCTCCAGCAGTCAATCATCCCAATGGGGTGGCCACCTTACAAACGTCTCTTTCCTGCATTACAGGTAATGAAATTAGTGTCCAAACATGAGCACTTTATTGCCATCAGATCTTACAACTCTCTCTCTCTGTGCATACGTGTGTGTGTGTGTGTGTGTGTGTGTGTGTGTGTGTGTGGCTACAGGCGCATCTGCAGGATTTGATGTCCACAGTCAAGCACAGGATGTGGATCCTGATCAAGAACTGCATGGAAGGGACTTCTTCAGTGGGGTGGACCACTGTACAAGCCAGATCTCCTGCATCCATACAGAGGGATGATATTACTTCTGGCGGTTTTGTTCCTTTGCACTATTTTGTGTCCCCGTTCCATTTAAAAAAAAGGGACAGTTCACCCCAAATTCAAAAACACATTTTCCTCTTACCTGTAGTCGTATTTATCAATCTAGATTGTTTTGCCTAGTTTGGGAGATATCGTCTGTAGAGATCTCTGCCTTCTCTTGAACATGATGGGACTATATGGCACTTGGCTTGTAATGCTCACAGCGCAAAAAAAAGTAGATTTGAAAAACTCAACAGCAATGTCTCTTTCCAGAATCATGACCCGGTAACTGGAGATAATCCACAGTCTTTGTTGTGAGCAGTTTCCTGCGGGAACTAGTTGAAAGAAAAACAGTCCCATTATATTGGAGAAGGGCAGACATCAAGATCGTCGATATCTCCAAAACTAGAAAATTCACATGAAAACAATCTAGATTGGTAAATAGCACAACAGGTAAGAGGAAAAATATGTGATTATATTTTGAGGTCAACCGCCATCTAAGAACACTTTAAATGGCGCCACAACTCAGCAGCAGCTTCATTTAGCAAAATAAAAGGGATTTGATTGATTGATTGATAAAACAATCCAAGATGCTGCTCCCTCGGTCTTGAAGGAATTGACTTTTACATCCTCAGTGCAAGTTTCGACTAAATCTCTATAAATGGCAACGGACTGGCTTCTGCCTCCGTAATCAATGCATATGAATGGCTGAGCCTCCAGGATTTAAATGTTTACTTTCTCAGTTTTGATACAGCTTGTGTCGAACAATGTCAACGCAGTAAATACTTCAGGTAGTTTCTGGTTACATGTTGCACAGTATTGAACACTGCAATCAAAGCAAAGTATGCAAGGGGAGGTTTTTCTTAGAACCGTGGCTTTGTAACTATAGTAACAAGACAGCCTCACCATTTCGCTGTAATGTTCATAGACATAACCTGTTGCTTGAGTGTAGTACTGTAATGTGCAACGATTGCTCCTGTGCCTGGATCATGAGGTGGATTTCTGTTGGGTGACCATATCATTTTACATGTTTTAGTTCAATTACTGCCAATGACTTACATTTCACATCGTAGTTGACCTTTTCTGAAAGCATGGCATCGTGCTGTACATTTTGATCTCGTCTCCCAGCCATTCATTTTCACATGGTATGAAAATGAAGACTTTAACACTGGCTTGACATTTGTAAACTATCAGTGACTATAGCTGCTTTTATTTTTGCATTTCAATGCAGTGCAGACCATAACACAACTACAAAGCTTAAAAGAACATATTAAAAAAGCAGACATGATGATCACCAAGCACAAACGCACATTGGAGGTCCCTGCAAATGTTTGATTTTCAAAATAAATAAATAAATATTCAGACCTCATCGTGATCAGCAGCAACGTAAAGTACACATGGTTTGTAGGACATGGGCTAAAATAAGCAAAAGACACTGCTAGGTCTTTTTACTTTTGAACATATTATATATATAAGAATAGATCAATAAAAGAAGAAGATTATTCGTACCCTTGTTTTCTTATTTGTCATATACTTTTGTGTCTCCGTGTGAGATGAAGATGCACCAAACTTGCGGATCCGTTCATGGTGGCTAATTGAATTTGTTCTTGTTTGAAATTAAGAGGACAAAACTCTTTTAGTTGAAAAAAATATAATTGTTTTAGCAAATGAGTGTCAAGAGTCAGATGGGGGTTTCAGTAGTTGCCTAGCAACAACATCTTTTCCCAAAAGCATCTGTTTAGTACCGCTAACCAAAAAAGAAAGTGTTGCGACGTGGACACAGGTGGTTAATTAAGCTCTGTATCTGGTATACATTTAATTATGTATTTAATTGTTCAGGAGGAGCGACACATTCATTAGGAGGGGTTAACTTTTCAATAACAAAGTAGGACAGCGAGAATAATCGCAAAATACAACACGATTGTCAATAAATACACTGCGGCAGAGAAGAATGGGATTAACTCTTGGCCTATTCAGCCATCTGGTGTGGTGAATAATGGGAACTGCCCGTGCACACTTCCAAATACACGCAAAAAATATATGTATAAACAGGTTAACGGAAGGCAATCATTCAGTCAGCGTTCATTTTAAGTGTATACCACCGGTTTTACCCCCACTTTTCTTCGAGCCCTTGCATTTACTACATTCTCCCACACAAGGAAAACATCAAAATAAATCTGGCTTATGCTTTTCCTTCAGCTCTCAAATCTGAGACATAAGAAATGTTTCGACAAATGAGAGATCTATTTATGATCCTTATTTTGATAATTTCTATTAGGATGTCAGAATGAATGAATGGCCTACTTCTGTATTAAAACACTGGCGGTGGGTACCAGAGGTCCTCAAACCCAGTCGAAACAGTAGACACAGTACAGACAGTTTGCAAGGTGTAACATGAAGTTATTTGTTTTACTCACGTTTGATGGTTTGATGGACTCATGGGCTCTTGGTTTGTTTGTCATTGACGTTTATTAATTATTGAAACGAAACTCAAAGTGAATAAAATAAAGTAAAATAAGAATACAACCAAATAAATCAAGCTATTTCGGTTTCTTATGTTACCTTCTGTTTCAGATCCGCTTGGCAAATTCGTCTGGCGTCTTTGGCTTTCCACGTGCACCTGGTGTGGTTGATTTGGGCCAGGGCGAAAGAGGTCACGTGTTAGTATGTCCTTTTTCTGCTAAACTAAAAGGCAACCACTAGGTGGTATAGATAACCATTTTCTAAACTATTTGCTCCTTTTTTTAACCAAACAACAACATTGTCTACAGATAAAACCATAGAGTTGTTTTTATTTAATTTTATGAAATTAAAAAGTGAATGTCAAGAGAAACGTATCTCCGTGGCAAACTGAATTATTTACTGGAGAAAGACAAATGAAAAAGGAAACACCCAGATGTTGCTGAGACTGAGACAAAGACCAGAGGTTTAGGAACACTTGTTTCTCTTTGTGGCAGGACATGATGACAGACCTATAACCTCTAGGCCGGTGTGCCAATGCCACACATATTAAACCAAACTGTATTTAAACCTCGTCCTGTGTTTGGCCAAAACTCAGATAAACTTGGCATCCTCAGATTCTCGCAATACATGGGCTATATATCATTGCAGCGGAAAATTCAATCACCTTAAAAAGAAGCACAAACACAAGCATGAATCATCATCGGGATGTCGTAGCTTAATTGTGACAATATGGATATAAAGAAACAAATGATTATCCAACAACATAATGAGGGTCCTGGTTCAGGGTTAGGTCTTTATACAACGTAGGTTAATCCATTCTACTGGAAAACTAAAGACAATGCAGATTATTTTCATTTTCTTTAATAATATAAAGTCGTTGTCTTCTTTTTTTATTTCAACATCCCCACAACACGCTATTCATTCATTCTTGATGTATTAAACGTCTCCAAATAAACCAGACTAAACGCATTCGCTCGGGTATAATTATAAGTCTTGTAAGATATGCCTAATATACTCAAACACATGTATTTCGGTGTGATTTTATTTAAAACTGTATTAAGTGCGCTTTAATCTCCTCCCACCTGCCTGGTAAGGTTGCGCGCTCCCGGTGAGTTTTATAGCAACTGTTGCCCAGTGAGGCAGCGCCATAGTCACCGTAGTCCTGGCGACTGTAACCCACCAACAACAACCTCTCGCTCCATCATTACCACCTCCTCCACCATCCTCATCTTCATCAACCAGTCCACAGCTCAGGTTTGAATACATTTGTTTTTTTTTAACAGTTTTTTTTAGCCTAGCTTTTAAATCGGCCTTTCTCGCGTCCAAGGGATAATTGCGTGAAGGAGCTATTAATGCTGTGGTTTGTGTTTTTGTGTGCAGCTGAATGAAGGCTCGGTGGATAGCTGGGGTAGTTTGCTAGCGAGGGTGTTTCTTTGTGACGTGGTAGCCTGCTTTGCTAACGTTGGCTGTAAAGATACCCACAGCTGTGAGAGGTCCTGGTCGCTAGCTGTAGCCAGCGATGTCCTCTTACGGGGTGCTTTGTGTCTAAAACTGACCTAAACGCCAGGTGGTGTGGAAGAAAAACGGGTTTCCGTGTAACTTATTTGCCTAAAACTTACCATGCTGGGTGGTAGCATAGGTCTGGGCTAGGCACTGATGCTAGCTGGTCAGCTGGAGCAGGAGCAGGTGTCTGTTGTTGCTAGGTTGCTAACGCCAAGCGTTGCCCTCTCACAATGCCTGGTGGTGTACCGTTCTTGGCTAATGTTTCGGTGATATTGCAAGTGTATGTGTCGGCTGGTTTATATCTCGTTGGTCACACAAAATCAATAACGTCGATCAGCAATGGAGAGTGCTGTGAGCTAGCTTTCCATACACTAACTGCTATTGACAATAGCTAAGCCATTACTTTCCCTTTTGTCTTAGGGAGCAAGATAGCTTCGCTAGCTCTCCATCTGCCCTCTTTGTGGCATCCGATGGCTGTGATAAGCTATCTTGATAACACAAGGCGAAGTTTTGCAGTGGTCGGCTTTGAGGAGAAAAAACACCTGCCCGATTTAACATTAGAATACCTCAATGTATGTTAACTACCCGTGTGTGTGTTTTTTTTTCTCCGAATCGTTTCGTTATTCTGCATTTCACCTTCCGTACAGGGCTGGTAACGTCCAGATTTAGCAACCCCTTCTGCAAAACACGTGTAATTATTGAGAAACATGTACAATTTTACATTTTTGTTATTTTGTTACATGTGCGCAAAAAGAAAAAGGGACCGAGAAGCAGCGTACATTGTTCCAGGGGGATCCAGGTCGTTAGTTCATTTTAATAATGGCAGATTTGATTTGGGGCTCCCTTAAATGTGTTACAAACATTTCAGAACAATACGCTCTTTGCTTACAATGGAATAGTAAACTTGCATTTTAAGGTTGCTTAATCCTCCGGGTGGTTCATATGAGTACAGGCTAGGTTTCTTAACGTTGCATCACAATTATTTCGGGGTCCATTGGGTCTCATGTGCAGCTGCGACCTGTGATTCCCGTTAGGGGAGAGATTGGGTGTGTCAGTGGAGAGGACAGGTGCACCTCTAGTACTGATGGGACTCCTGAACCATCTCGGCTTGTCTGTATAGATTTTGGTTGTCTTTTCAATTGTATGATGGCTGTGAACCATAAATCACAGTACTACTTATGTAGCCTGACAGAGCCAGAGCACTTCAAACCATTTAGATCAAAATACAAATTGCACACTTTGTTTTTATTGCATACTGCAGGTAAAGCCTAAAATATTGATCTGTTGTCACATGCAACCCAAAATAGGTCATGCACAGACACCTTTTCCCAACACACACACACAGAAGACAGGATGTTGGGAACTGCTAGTTATCATATCATGTTACCACTTACCTGTAATCCAGCAGCACAGAAATAGTACCATGCCACCTGCTGCCTGGATCCTGTTACATTTCCAATCACTTAAAGAGGGGCCGATTAATTCAATTATTCAGTCATCCATTTTCATGGCTTAGCAGAATACAGCGTGTTTGGTTTGTTATTTTCCCCCAGCCTGCCCGCAATAATGTATATTGTTGATGAAAGAGGAGACTTAAAAGGTCCTTGTTTTTTTTTTTTTTTTTGCTTCCTAACCCCACATATATCAATAACAGGGTACAATTAGACTCGCTCTGTAACCTATGTCATGATGCTTCCAGAAATTCTGACATTTCTGTTTCCCGTGTTTCCTGTCATGAAATAAAAACAGACAGTACGTTGAATACTAAGTATCACTTTGTTTTTGTCACCACTGACGTTGTCCCATATATTCATGCAATGTTTCATATGTCAAAATCAACATCTGCGCAGACCGTAACAATATAAGTCACCCCCAGTTATCTTTATAGTCGTAAAACTCAACTCCTAAGCAAACACAGAAACTTTGCATACCTCCTCCTTCCTCAGCTCCCAATCACATCTCCCTCCACCTGTTTTCCCGCTGTATTAGCACCTGATCATGCTCCTGTCTTGCCTGGGGTTGCATGTACTGTATGTGTGAGAGGGAGAGATTTTGCATATGGTGTACTTTTCAACCTTGTTCACCAGCTCCTATTTCTTTACTTGGTCCATCACACTCCACCTTTATCATACATGATCATTAGAGTGGCAAATACAGTACTGTATATTTTCTGGCGGCGACTGTGAACCTTGCACTTTTCCCTTATTCGTCGCTTGTAATGTTAGCGAGAGGAATTGAGGGGAGAAAACGCAGGGCAAAACGTTGCCCTCCTTGGTGGCTTTTGTTCCTCCGCGTCTTTGTAGGGCTTGCACTTGCTCAGTGGAGCACAGCATTTAAGTGGGCCACAAGGGAGTGCCTGAATGGTGAGGCAGGAGGTGTGGTAGTGTGTGTGTATATGCGTGCGTGTGTTTGTGGAGGGGGTTGGGGTGAGGCAACAAGAGTGCGTTGTGATGCAGGGGCTCTTTCCCTCGATTTTTGGTGGGCCCAGTTGGAGCCATGTTCTTTAGCCTTCAAACTGCACACACAGTGGAATATAAGTCTAGATTCTCCTCTCGTCACAAGTCCTTTTATTAGCATTTGGTTGCAGTAAGCTGAAGGCTGCAGTTATACTTTGCATTTTGGTTGGCCTGCATCCAATGGCTTTCACGCTTCAGGGTAAAAGAGTTGCCTGTGTGTCGTGGTAGTATATATAGGTGTGTCATTTCTTTTGTGAACATATGTCATAGTTTACAGTGTCTTGTCTAAATCTGCAGAATATGAATATTTGAACGGGATAGTAGCTTATTGTTTTCCAGGAACCAGACTGCAGCCCGCTAACATGTCCGACAGTGATAGTATATACTCGCATCCCCCTCCCAAAGGTGTTGAAAATAGTCATGCTGGAAGCAGATGGCTTTGCGTTAATGAATGTCAGTGCCCCTGTATATTTAAAGGAAATACAGACTGCCTTACCCACTCCTCACCCTCTCAGTGCACCAGGAACAATTGACTCAGCTTTGCGGTCAAATTGTGAGGTTGGTCATCCCAACGCAAATAAAGTCAAACCCTGCTTCCCAAGAAAAAGGCCGGTGTAATATTGAAGGGAATGAGCAGGCTGTCCCTGGTGAGATTCAGAGCTGTTAGGGGACCCGGCTTAATTAACCAAGAGAGGCTTGTTCGTGGAAACTGTGATGGGGAGGAGGTGGCCTTCCCCTGGAAGGAATGGGTGATGGTAGCCATGCTATTATTAACTCATAAACACAGGTTCACCACCAGTGTCTCACACTCTTTTCCTTGTCTTCAAAATAGCTCATTTTAGCCTTGTAAGTGTTGTAGACATAATCTTAAATCTCTGATGCACAATGCAGCAACATAGCTTTTTTATTACCAGTAATGACGCTATCTGGTAAAGATACTTTAAAATATAAGATAACGTTCCAGTAGTACCTTTTGTTAGTACTGATCCTGGACTTCCAATCTCAACTAACGTTAAACCTGTAAAATTGGGAACTGACTGAGCAGCGAGAAGCATCATCTATTTGGAGTTTGTTAAATATTAACTTGTTTTATGGCTGTGAACATGGAGACAAGACCATGTGTCACTGATGCATGAGGCTCTCAGTACATTAAGTACTACAAGGCAGAAACAGGTGCTAGGGTAGACTTTCTCTTGAGCAGCTTTAGTAGCATTGATTTAAGAGAATCTGTCGTGTTTTCTATTATGTTTTAGGGACGTTTTATGTCCAGGGCTAACAAAATCATGAGACTAATTTAATAACGTATTTATTTCATCGTAAATTCTGTCTGTTACGACGCCATATTTGTAAATCTACTCTGTTTAAGGGAGTCATCAATGCTTGATGCCCTGTGTGTGTGTGTGGGTGTGTGTGTGTTTGTGTGCCCTGGGTCAGTGATGCGTTGAGATCATTTCGTTGTTGTTCCTGAGTTGTAAAGTTGCTTTGCCAGTTAAACCGGTAGGTCGAGGGTGTTCTTGGTTTCCAGTGATTGTGACATTATCTCTCTCCAGTAACACTGTGTTTTTCTCTGTCTTACTTAGGCGCCATGCAGACCCCTGAGGCAGGCGCTGACTCCACCTCCACAGTCCCTCTTCAGACCACCGTGCCTGTCCAGCCTACCGGCTCCACCCAGCAGGTGCCTGTCCAGCAACAGGTACATCCAGCCTGTCTGTGTGGGGGCGTGTTCGTGTCTGAATGTTCCTGCGTGTGTGCATGCTGTGTGTGCATATATATATATATATGTGTGTGTGTGTGCATGTCTGTATTTGCAATATGGTCGATTGAATCATTCATTTGCAACTCTTGCAATTTGTCTCGCCAGGCCCAGACTGTTCAACAGGTTCAGCATGTTTACCCAGCACAGGTGCAGTATGTGGAGGAAAACAGTGGCGTCTACACGAATGGCAACATGTGAGTCAGTCTGTTACCCGGCTCTATAAATATTAGCGCTAAGTCTCTGCAGCCTGTTCTCTCTCCTCTTGAGTCTCCTCAAACCATCATTCATGTCACAAGCACATGTTGTTGGTGGGAGTGCGTTCAGGGTTTTTTGTGTGTGTGTGTGTGTGTGTTTTTCGACTCGTATGAGGGGGGGTCTGCCCTCGTGTGCTTGATGGTGCTCGGTCACCTGAACATGACCAGAAGTAGTTCTGTCTTTGTAAGTGCTGATGCTACACCAGGGCCCCCTGGGTCTGAGGAATGGGGGGGTTACATAGACACTCGACTAAATTGCTCAAGCTGTGTTTTTGTCCTACTGTGATAACACAGAGACTCGCACATTGTGAAGACACAAACACACATACTGTGTGACCTCAGCTGCTGGTGGAAACACTCATGCAAGCTAGACTTAATCAAACATACAGCAAACAGCTGGACACGTGATCTGAGTACCAGGCTTGTGTTGACATAATATGTGAAAGGGGGGGGGCACCCAAATCACAAACAGAAACCCATCTAAATACATAAATACAGTTGTTGACGTTACTTTCAGAAGGTATCCATAAAAAATGATAATACATTTTGGATTGGACAATTGTTGTTGACAGTATTTGACTGTACCTGCACAAAGAATTTTATTGTAACTACCACATCAATAGGTGTCCTAAGAACATAAATAACATTTAAAAAAAAACTTGATTCTAAGAAGAAATAACTTAATTTGAAAGTTGAAATAATAACTCTTAATTGTTTTACCTTTGTTTCTCAGTTTGGTGACTGACTGCTAACCTCTCTTTTGAACAGAAGAACCTACTCATACTCAGAGCCGCAGCTGTATAGCCAGAACAGTGGAGGGAACTACTTTGACACTCAGAGCAGCTCATCACAAGTCTCCACTGTGGTGACGTCTCACGGCATGACCAACAATGGAGGAGGGGGCAGCGGAGGAATGAGCATGAATCTGGCAGGGGGTCAGGTAATCAGCACCAGTCCTGGGGCTTACATCATGGACAACGCTCTACCCCACCCTGTCACCCAGACGGCACGAGCTTCCCCAGCTACTGTGAGTTAACAGCACCCACTAATTGGCTCTTCGCTATCACTTCGCGTAGGCCGATCCCTTGGCAGTGAACTAACCACTGCCAGCAATGTTCACACTGTAACCCTTAATATGTAATGGTCAAGTAATGCAGGGCTTTGTTTCCATTCCTGTTTTTATCAGTCTGTTATTCCCACTCTTTGGTGCAGAAGAAAGGAGGGGCTATGACCTGAGACGGGTGTATTAAGGAGGGGAGGACTTACCCACTCCTCATGAGAGTCCTGATTGGACAAAGCGGTGCATGCAGCACAAGTGCTTTGCCCCATTCGTTTTTTTCCTATAGTCCACCATGATGATGCTTGGTGTCTGACATTACATTATGAGGATATCAGTCATGGCAGAGAGTTTAGAACATCCAATGATGGCTGTGCAAAGGAGAAATGTTTTATTTTGTATTTAATCAAAATGTGTGCAAGGGCATTTAACTGCTTAAGCAAAATACCAGCTCAGCGTTGTCAAGCCTAAGTGAGGTGACAATATAAATGGGCCCCTTTGTTACTGTGTATTGTCGTCAGTCATTAGGCTGTTTGTAAAAAGCCCGGTACCCAATTAGACTTCTTCACTTTTTAGTATAAACCTTGAGTTTGACATGCAGGTGTTAGTACATCATCTTGGCACGCTGCCTTAGTCTTTTGTTTTTATAATGAAGAGGAGACTGTCATTTGTCTCTACACATGATGGTTGTTATAATTGGATCTGTGCTGGTGGAATCTGGAAGGGTTGCGTGTCTGCCAGCTATCGTCGTTATGAAGTGCTTCGTTGATCCTGTTGAGCCTCGTGTTCCCACTTCTCAACTAGACTTTCTTAAAATGACAGGTAGTCCTGCTTTGCTTGGGTTTAGTGGTGCTTGCTTTGTGATCCTTTCTAGATTCTCTTTATTTTTGCACGTGGATACTAACGTGTCTACATCAGCGCTTTGTTTTTTCTTGCTTTCCTTTTTTATTTCCCCCCCCCCCCTCTTACATTTTGTTGTCCTGTGCTTCGTGGTTTATCAGATTGAAATGGCGATTGAGACTCTCCAAAAATCTGAGGGTTTGTCCAGTCAGAGAAGCTCGCTGCTCAACAGCCATGTAAGTTGCTTTTTTACGAATGCTTGCCCACCCCTCTGCTTCTGACTACTGCCTCTCTCAACTCTGTATACATTTGAGTTTGACTTTCTGTTTTTGTTGCTTTTTAAATGTCACTATCGTTTTAAATTCACTGGCTGCTGTAGAAATGCTTTTGCAGAGTTGTGGTGCTGCGACATCGAAACAGACTGCTCGTCTGAGGTCTTTCCATGGCAGTTTGCGTGGACCAGTGTTTGAATCTCTTTGGTTAAAAAAGAAGCATGTGTTCCCCTTGTAGCTCCAGTGGCTGTTGGACAATTACGAGACAGCAGAGGGCGTAAGTCTACCACGCTCCACCCTCTACAATCATTATCTGCGCCACTGCCAGGAGCAGAAACTGGACCCTGTAAATGCAGCCTCTTTCGGTAAACTTATCCGCTCCATCTTCATGGGACTCCGTACAAGGCGCCTAGGGACAAGGTCAGCTTCTTTTTTTGATTGTCTTTATCTGACGTGAGGAAAAGTTCATGGCCGTATGCTTGCGTGGCTCTTCTTTTGTCATTAATTGACACACTGATATGCTAAAAGCCTCATCCGTCCTTCTCTTCTGTGCCTCTCCTCCATCCATGTGAACATGTCTGTTCGCCTCACATTCGTCAATGTGCGTTCACCTTTGGTTTTGTCTTGCAGAGGGAACTCCAAATATCATTACTATGGTATACGTGTGAAACCAGACTCGCCACTCAACAGACTCCAAGAAGACATGCAGTACATGGCACTCAGACAGCAACCTGTTCAGCAGAAGCAGAGGTACACAGGCAACTAGGCATGCTTACGGACATGCAGTATTTGTTGGGGAAACAAGTCACAGTGTTTTTTTATAGATACCGATGTTATTTGCAGGTTCAAGCCGGTGCAGAAGTTTGATGGCTGCTCTGGGGAGAATTACTCAGGTGGAGGCCAGCACATTCCTGGTGCAGAAGAGCAGACAGTCATTGCACAGAGTCAACACCACCAGCAGTTCCTTGGTCAGCTGCTTTCCTCTTTATCTCAATGTCTCTGTAAAACCAAGAACACATGAAATTGCCTCAAATAAACTGAATATTTCGTTTTACGGATTATTCCAATTTTTTTTTATCACTCCCAACAGATGCGTCGCGGGCACTCCCTGACTTTGTAGAGCTGGACCTGGGACCGAGCAATACAGAGAACATCAGCCCAGAGGATGTGAAAGCTCTCCAGTCCCTTTACAGAGAGCACTGTGAGGTTAGATAAAGGGCTTTTCATATTCACTTCAATGTGTGTAATTCACAAGGGGAACAGGGGGTCAGGTCTCTCTTCAGTGCTCAGAGAAAGCGAAGTAATCCCTTTTAATATTGCAGCATCCGTTGATATATCATCAACAAGGCTAGTCCCTTCTTTTCCCGTATATATGTGCCTTAATCTGCCTCTATCTATTATTACAGCAATTCACTAGTTTCATCTTACTTAATGAGAAAATGCAGGTAAGACTGAAAATACTGAACTACGGTTTTACACATTTTTGGAAAACTACACATATTTAATCTTTGGCTGGATTCAGAGGGTGGAAAATTTGGGAAAGGTCATGTGTGTGTTTATAGTGACAGACATTTCTAAATGCCAGCTACTGACATTTTGGAGCAGAATGTTCTCTTCATCTTGTGAAGTTTTCAATCACATCTCTCCTGCTATCTGGAAAAGTAGGAATCAGGTCCGCAGGTGATGGCCAAGGATCCTTGGCTTATGATCCTTCTTCTCATGATTAAAGAACCAGTTCACCAAAATTACCAAAAAAAACATCACAGCCCCCTAGTTTGGGGTTGATGTGCAGTTTACAGATGAACTTGTTTTAGAATGCGGTTCCAGTGAAAACTATTCATTCGTGTGGTTTATTCTCTGCTTTTGTTTCAGGCTATCCTGGATGTGGTTGTCAATCTCCAGTTCAGTCTAATTGAGAAGTTGTGGCAGACATTCTGGCGTTATTCTCCCCCGGACTCTGTAGAGGGTGCCACTGTAACAGAAAACAGGTGAGGTCAAGCTGATAATATACAATGCTGAAGTCTATCAATGATAGCCAGAGAGAAAAATATTGTCAAACCTAGTTTATTTTAGGATGAATCTGAATATTCAACGGCATTTTTTTCTGATTTGTTCGTTCCTCAGCAGCTTAAGTGAGATTGAAGCACGGCTGCCCCATTCACAGCTATTGGAACTGTGCAGAAGCGAGGCGGTACTCAAATGGATGAGTACCTGTGACCATCTAATGTACCAGGCCCTCGTGGAGATCCTCATCCCTGATGTCCTGAGACCCATTCCCAGTGAGCCACAGTCACGGACACCTCTCATATTTGCTCGTTTGCTGTGTTAATGCTCGTAACATCGCGATCATAAACTCACTGTTGTTGTTTTGATCGTCCAGGTGCCTTGACTCAAGCCATTCGCAACTTTGCCAAAAGCCTGGAAGGTTGGCTCAATAATGCCATGAATGCCATTCCACAGAGAATGATCCAGACGAAGGTACACTTGCAGTATTCAAACAGAGTTACCTTTGTGAAAATGCTACATTTATAAGTCAGAGGGAGTGACATTTGTCGTCAGTTTTGAGCGGTATGGAGGTCAACACCTAGGCTTTTTATGTGTGCTCTTTACACAGATTGCCGCTGTTAGTGCCTTTGCGCAAACACTGCGCAGATACACATCTCTGAACCACCTGGCTCAGGCGGCACGTGCTGTTTTGCAAAACACATCACAGATTAACCAGATGCTGAGCGATCTCAACCGTGTTGACTTTGCCAACGTACAGGTCAGGGCAGCTCTTTGTGTTTGGATATTCAGTGTCGGTGCTTTTGTAATGTGTGCTGTGCCATTCCTTCTCTGTAATCCACTCCGTCAAAAGAGTTTTCCCCCTGTACAGGTGTGAACCTGCAGTTCTTTCTCTGTGTTGCCGTATAGGAGCAGGCATCATGGGTGTGCCAGTGTGAGGAGGGAGTTGTTCAGCACTTGGAGCAGGACTTCAAGGCCACACTACAGCAGCAAAGCTCTCTGGAGCAATGGGCAGCTTGGCTGGAAAATGTGGTCACTCAGGTGCTCAAGCCTTACGAGCACCAGTCCAGCTTCCCCAGGGCAGCTCGACAGTTCCTGCTCAAGTGGTCCTTCTACAGGTCTGCGAAAAAATAATAAAAAGCGACCATATTGACACGCACCTGGGAGTGTGCAGATGTAATGCTCACAATGTTGTTGTTTTTTGAATGGCTCTGCAGTTCTATGGTGATCAGGGACCTGACCCTTCGCAGTGCTGCCAGCTTTGGTTCCTTCCACCTGATTCGCCTGCTGTACGATGAGTACATGTTTTACCTTGTGGAGCATCGCGTGGCACAAGCTACCGGAGAGACACCCATTGGTGTCATGGGGGAGGTATAATTATAGCAACTCATGGTCACAGTATTTTACAGTGACGCACTACAGTATATGACAGATACACTGTATATCAGATGTGAAATAATAACCTCTCTTTGGGTCATTTTTCATCCGTTGATAAAATCACCCCAGAACAGATGTTTTATCTAGTTACTACGTAGTATCTCCATTGGCTTAGAAACACATTAAAACTATGTGAGCCACTCATGCCCCCCACTAATTATGATGTTTATTTGTCTGTTTCCAGTTCGACAGCCTCAACACGCTGTCCCTCTCTAACATTGATAAAGGTACGTGATCTATCAAGCTCAACCAGTATTCGAGAAACACTGTCCTTTTTAAAGTGAGCTCTTGAGTCCACACCGGTGTTTTACACATGCGATGCTTTCTCCCGTCTAGATGAAACCAGCGGGATGGACAGCGACTTAGAAGACGACATAGAGGAGACGGGGGAACCTCTCGCCAAGCGAGAAAAGTCTGAGCACGAGGTGATCCAGGTGATCCAGGTCGGGGCCCTGGAGGACGGGTCCCACCCTGTGGTGGGGGTCGTCCAGCCAGGTGTCCTCCACTCGCTGCCCCAGCCCCCGCAGGACCACACTGAGCACATCCTAACCCCTTCTGCCGCTACTCCCACCATCCGCCACTGCAGCGCCACAGGCAACACCTACGCCTCCGTTTGACGGTCTAAAGGGCACGGCCAGCCTTTGTTAGGCCTGTTTCGCTATCTCACTCTCCACATATCTCTCTCTCAGTAAGTCTAGATGTTTCCGTCTTTTTCATGCATCGTCTCTGTCTGCACGTGTGCGGACATGCTCTCCTCGCCATATCTAAACCTGTCAGTGGGGGGGGGGGGAGTGCTGAAATGATGATGATACTCTGGCCAAGATGTGCTGTCCGTGTCTGACTGCTTAGATTCTGGATGTGGTGTCGTCCCATAAGGTTGTGCTCTATCGCAATGCGGCAGATGCAGGAGGACTAATTTGACCTGGTAAATGTTTGTTGACTCAAGGCCTCATGTCTGTCTGTACAGACGGTTTTGTCTTGAAAGAAAATTCAACTACTGATGTCTCAGAGCTCAGATCCATGTCACCAGCCCCCGTGGTGCAGAGTCATCGATTGACTCAAGACCTTCACCTATTGTAAATAGTTCTGCTGTACTTTCAATTGGTATTACCCAAAAACTCATGGTGCTATCATTGTGTTCTGTTTTGTTTTGATTTCCATTTTTATCCCTCCTAATTTGAGCATGATTTATGTCCACATGCATTCCAACTGCTGATAAACGTTTGGCTGAACAAAATATTTTGAGTATTGTATGTAGCTAAAAACATTAAAGGGAGGACTTTCTATGTATGTGTGGCATTTGAAAAAGGATCATGGGGCAGTTTTGTCTGTTCTGTTTGAATTTCATACGGTAGCCACCCACTGACGACCACTTATAGATTTTAGCCACAGAAAAGGAAACCCCTAAAGAAGTATCTGTGCTGCTACTTGTGTATATAGAAATGAGATTGAAAAGACCAGCTGTACAAAACCACTTCCTCAATGCTAGCTTTTCTATGCACCCCGTGCATAACGCTTGCCTTTGTTCATTGTAGATGCTCTGTAGTGTTGGTGTACGTGACCAGCTGTAATCTTGAAAAAAATTTACTGGACATGTTCCCCTGTTTTTCTTTTTTTTGTTTTTTTTTTTCTGCAGTTTCTGTCTTAATGAAATATCTTAAGTTCACAAAGGACCAAAAAAAAAAAAAAAACAACAAGCTGAGAGGGAGCCACTTGGGCCACCCAAGAGCTGTCTCCTGTCCCACAGTGCCATGTCGCAGAGCAGACGGAATGTCAGGGATTTAATGTACCTCGGCTTTATCATAGTGCCTTATCCTTAAACGCAGCTGTCCTTGTAGTCCTGACTGTGTGCTGTAGAGAGCCCACACCCCCCCCCCCCCCCTCTCTGCATTGTCCCAGCCACAAATTTGGCTTTCTGGTGGCTGGATTTGGGCTGGCTCATCAGTGTTGAGACCAAGGAATACAGGCACAGACACACCTGTTGTTGTTGTCTCTGGATCAGCTCCACTAAGCTCATTACTTATCTGAATCATGGTCTTTAGCCTTGCTCCTGCCCTCACTCTGCCCTCTTGAGGCCTACTCTTGCATTAGCCTTTGTTATCGGGTGAAATGTGTGTGTGTGTGTGTGTGTGTGTGTGTGTGTGTGTGTGTGTGTGTGTGTGAGTGTGAGTGTGAGAGAGTGAGAGTGTGTGTGAACACGAATGCATAGGTCTGCACTGTGTTTTTATGTGCATGTGTACACGTGTGTATATAAGCCTGTGTGTGTGTGTGTGTGTGTGTGTGTGTCTGCGTGCTTGTGTCTGCGTGCGTGTGTGTGTGTGTCTGCGTGCTTGTGTCTGCGTGCTTGTGTGTGTGTGCGTGTAGAAACACATCCATCAGTCACCCTACCTCAAACCAGTGGTGCCAGCCCTTTGATGCGTGCAGCACAGTCACCAAACCTTATTGCACACACACCACTGTACTGCACAACTCTCAACGCGATAGAGAAAAACCGCATTGCTTTTCTCTCACCTCTGATACATTTCCATTTCAGTTTTTAGCCCATAGATGCTTTCATCCTTTGTTCCCTGTTTGAAGATCATCTTTGTACAGTGGACCAAAAGTAGATATTTTGTGATATTCAAAGAGATCTATAGATATAGATATATATATATATATATATACATATATATATGTACAGTATATATAATGCTGATACACTGCATATATTTGTTGCTTTATATGTCATTGTTTCTTTTCGTAGCTCTTCTGTAATTAGTTCATAGCCTGTGAAATGGGAAAGACGTGGGGGACAAACTTCTGATTCATTCGACTACATCTATACTTGAACGGTTCTAACATTCTATCATTCTATGTTGTGGAGATTATTGAGATTAATCCTCTGAATAGGAACAATTTGTCACTAAAATGATTTTTTTTTTGTTGTTTTTTCATGCTTGTTGAAATGGTCTGCAGGATTTCTCTGCAGAAGTGTTTATTTATTGATATTTATTGTGTTTTGGTTTAGATGCTCACCCATTACACCATATTATAATGGGTACTGTTAATGAAATTATACCACTGAAAATGGCAGAGCTACTGTAAAGGAGGACCATGAGTTTCTTTTTTTTGTTTTTTTTTCATGAACGTAGGTTTATTAAGGTGGAAAAAAAAGGGATGGCACTGTATTTTCTGTAATCACTTGTTTTGGCTCCATCACTAGTCAATGATTCCTTCACATCGAGGTCCATGGGATCTTTTCTTCTTTGTGCCTGTGTAGAACACCTACGTAGCAGTAAAGGAGGGTGGGAGAGCAAGTACTGCATGTCATTTGGGTTTCGTTAAATCATTTCCATGACACAAAAGTTTAACTCTAGCATCCCCCAAACCTACGGTACGCGTCAATACTGTAGCCTTAACCCCGAGTCCGCTGGCTTGAAATGTCTGGCTTTACCAGATCTTGGGAATTGAGCGCACACAAATCTGGGCTTTTCTATTATAGTGCTTAAGAACAGTTTGAAAAGTCTGCAAGTAAAAGGTCAATGAACTTTAAGTAGCTGGAAGTTGAAGGCCTGCAGCATTTTGTTTACATCACTCTGTGACCGTCGTGAATTTGCTCTCCGACTTTTGGTATTGAACTGTTGAACACGGAGAAAAGTAATGAAAAATGCCCCAATACAAGAATGAATGCAGACAAAAACTTGAGCCCATCTCTTGTACAGAACCTTCTCCAGAGCTGCATATAGATCTGTGTTCTCATAATAACTGACGAAATGAACTCAATTGGCCGACTCCAACATGCACACGGATTGCTCTAAATCTGGATATTGTGTACCAAGTAGGAATAAGGGTTTTGCAGGATTACTTTGTGTCATTTTTACCTTTCTCTCACTGAATTTCTTTTTCTTTTTTCAAACATGAATCTCAGCTCTCTTGTCATATAAATCAAGTACAACATTGTAAACTTGTATTATTTTGTGCCTGAAGAGAAAATGGCTTATAAAATAGTTTCTTTAAATCTTGATTGTGTGCTTTAGGATCATCAAGTGCTTTCTGGTCTTGCACGCTGGTCTACCATGTGCTGCTAGAAATTGTTTTTATTTTTCTGTTCATTTTTGTGGTTTCCGTTTTACTATACATAGACTTATGTGCCAGACAGTGATTTTTTTTAGCTTTCTGCATCTCAAAGTCTGCCTGGTTTAACACTGGACTGATGCTAATGCTGCCAACACAATTGTACTTTATCTCTGTGTCTTTGAGAAATTGAGAAGGAAGATTGTTTCTGTAACGGCTGTTTTGAAACGGAGCGCATTTCCAACCAGAAAAAACAAAAGAAAAGAAAAGACATAAGCTATTCCTTAACTTGTCATAGGAGCGAAAGCTAAGAGTTGCCTCTTCACCTGGACGACACGGCAGCTTCACTGACCCATAGCAGACTCCAGTGCCTTTAATTTTGCCCCGGCCAGAGCAGATGGCCCGGGTGACTATTGGGTCTCTGGTGGGCTACAGATTGAGGCTGAGCAGACATTTCATTGCACAGGTGCTGCCACGGAGAAGACACCAGGGAAGCATAAAGACCTGTCTTCAGACTGGACTATTTATTTACTGGATGTGACTCCACACACACACACACACTTGGTAGATTACCTGCAGACGGCTTTTTATTGTACAGAACTGGTTCATGAACAAGGTGAGTTACTGGAAGTAAAACGCTCTCTTATGAATTGTTTTCTCATGATCGTGATTTCTTTTGTCAAACGATATTTTCTGAATGCTGTGACCTGTTTGAGATTTGTATTTGGATGTTTTCAAGTGCCATTTGACAGTCTAGTGAGTCGTGGCCATCTGTAGCACGCTCTAATGCAAGCACAAGCATTTGGCAGTGGTATTTGGGGGGAAGGTTTTTATTTTTGTTCACCCAAGACAAAAATATGTATATATCAAAAACTGAAAAAAGGTATATTTATTTGTTAATTATTTGATTTATTCCTTTGGTGAACATTTTATCAGATATGTTGGCTGAAGTGCTTTTGTGATTTATTTCTCTTTTTTTGGATAATGTATAATATCTGATATAATATATACACACAAATTTCATGTGACTCTTTTTGTGTGCAATTCAGTTACTTCTCAAATTGACGAGCGAACCAATGCGTGTAGGGTAATTTGTATTGTGTATTTTACATACAAAAAAAACGGACAATTGGGGGACTTTTATATTTACAAAGACATTATCATTTAGTGTGTCGTATTGATGAATATAGAAACTATTAAAGACACATGTAGTTTGGTTTTCTGAATATTTCAGATCTCAGCTCAGGCTAGCTTCTTAGTGTTGTTTTCTTAAAATTTGTGACTCGTCTTTGCAGTAATAAACGTTTTCTTGTTCAAGTCAAGTGTCCTCATCATTGTTACTCAACGCACTCGTCAAATTCCAAATAAAGGAGATGTCACAACTCCACAACAATAGTGTTAGCCCATTGAACTTTATTCAGCCATACTCGTACATATAAACAATATCATTCAAACTCAATTGTAAAGATTAAGATGAGCATGAACTTGCATTTCCTGATAATTGTACAGCATTCTTTTTGTGTTTCATCACTGTAAAGGTAGCAAAAGAGATATAGATACAAAATACTGCAACAGCTGTCGGTAAACAGAGCTCCAAATACCACAATATTGATTTATGCTCAGCAAAAACTGAAATCATTCTGTTGATAAATAAAACCAAGCTTTTAGAAGCAACATTACAATGAAACGACTGCAGTCTGATAAACTTTTCACTGGGTATATTTGGTGTCGATATGGCTTACGCTTCCTCTCACAGTTCAACTCCTTTACCGTAACTCAGCTGTTGTCTAGAAAACATTACGGTAAGTGTCATCCAAATAATAAATACAAAACGTGGCAGTGAGCAATCTTAAAGTGATGTTCGGTTAGAAAGGTGGTTGTTTAACGGTAGTGTCACAGACAACATTTACAATTTCATGAACCATTCTTGCGCCACACCTCGATTTGTTCCAAATCGTCGTCATTCTGCCAGAATTGAGCTAAATGCACCTTTTACCCCGTCTGTGGGTGAGTGTTTGATACTGAAAATAGAGATTTTAGGCAGACATTTTGAAGCTAATAGGTCATTAGCAAGAAAACCTTTTCAACTATGTGAAAAACATGATATAGGTACAACAAGTAAGCATGCATGAGTCTATGAAACAAGAAAAAAATACTTCTTTACAAATTAATAAAGTGCTAATGGACACTATGCGGGCAATTAATATAAAAAGAACAATTATAAATCATTTTACAATGTGTTCTAATAACCTTTTCATTTGAAATTATTGAATAATTTCTAAGTAAATTTGGCATTTAAAAAAAGTCAATTCTCAATATCATAACAGCCTCAACTGCTGGTAGAATAACAGAAGCTTTATGGTGTTGAAGGAGAAGCTGAGGTCAGCTAAAATGGGCTTTTAAAATGCTCTTTACATCAGTAAAAACAACTATTCAGAAGCGGGAATATAAAAGAAAAAACATCAAACAAGGACTATCGGCATAGAAGGATATTTAAGATTACATCTTACAAAAACATAAGTAACGAATAACGTGATTTTACAGAATCGTCCTGATTTGTGAGGTGACAAACTCCACTTACATGAAGCCACACAGGCACCAGAGAGATCAGCAGTGAACTCCAGCTGAAATGACATCAAGCATGTTCAGACATGTTTTCATCCAAAACACAGCGTCACATTGTGCTCGGCTTTACTGGTTTTAAGCCAAAACACTTTGCCCTCTTACTAAATAGTTTAAAAAAGAACCTTTGTCCGTTAGTTAACGGGCTCTATAGGTGTTAAAATCTTAAAATGTTGAATCGTTCATGAAAAAAAAAAAAAAAAGCCAGCGGCTGAGTATGAATCATTTTATGATCGACACTCTACACTCTCTTGTAGTTATGCATTTCTTTTGTATTGCACCATGACTAATTTAATAATTGATAGGCTTTTTGCATCTTTTAATGTCGCTGTGGACACGTTTTTCATTCTCTTGGCAGCATGTTGTTAGAGTACTACCACTGCTACCAGCGTACCTCACGTGTTCACTTACAGATCTGGAGTCTCATTCCATATACTAGCAACTGCTTGTAGCGCTTGAATTGAAAGCAGTGTATTAGCAGTATACCGCCATCCTTTAAATCTTTGTTCATACTTCTGCAACCTACTCAGCGTCCCTGTCGTTGCAGTCCTCCTTCAGCCCCCCAGGCCTACAGGTGGAGTGGTTTGTTAAAAAGTACAGTCTGATTGGTTTCTTTTTTTTTCCATGTCTCTTTGCTCAGTCGAGGGGTTGAGGGTCAGCTATGGGCATGGTGTGCAGAACTTCATCCAGTAGCTGTAGAGCTCGGTGTAAATGGATCTCAATCCAGCAGGGCGTCTCTTTGATGCTTTGTCGTGGGTAGTCGGGCCCCCAGCCTTTCACGAAGCTCATCCGCAGGATGCACAGCCTGCGCAGGTCATCAACCCCAATGCCTGCAGCGGCAGACAGACCTGCAGAGGAATCACAGTCGGGAACGTTTAGATCGATGGGGTACAACAGGCCAAAGCTTGCAGAGATGTCTGCTAAGTTACTCTTGCAGTGAAAGTTTGAACATGTACCGGGCAGACACACAGCCGAGCAGAAAAACTACTGTAAATACATCTCCAACTCTGACCAGGCCATCCATGCTTCAGAACATATTCATTATGTAGATGCTTAGCTATGTGGAACTTTATTTCATCTACAACTTAAATTGTCAAATTGCCAAAAACATGACTGAATTCAAATTCTTAAAGTCAGTCCAAAATAGTTCAGCTAAAGAAAACACAGCCTGTGTACCAGTTTGTCTTTTCCTTCTGTTCATGCTGCTCTGTAATTCCCTCGCTCACAACGCTGTGCGATCATAACAATACACTTGATGAAGGAGTAGGAGAAGCAGTAGTATGAACACTCACTGATGGCCGGGGCGATGCCTCCCACAGAGCCAGGGCCGGGAATGTTACCGGCCACCGCTGCCGCCTGGGCTGACACGGCTGCCTGAGCGGTCGCTGCCTGCTGCTGCATCTGCCTGTGGCACTGACGCAGATCAAACACCTGGTCGGGGACAAGACAAACATTCACATACATGGTATAAATTCTGTTGAATAACAAAACTAAAAAGGGAATGCTACACATATTTTGCTGTCTGGATTATTGGTGTGCATGTACTGGAGTTGTAGCCAGTGCCAACAGCGATCAGGAATTAGCAAATTAGAATAACACCTCCTTGGATTGTTTATCTTTTCATTGAATGACCATTGTACTGCAATCTCACCTTGATGTAAGCACTGGGGTAGATCTTGTGAACTGCATCTCCAGGGGCACGTCCAGCCTCTCGATCCAGGTAATAGCTCTGCACAAACACTGCGTGATCACTCAAACAGCGCACCCAGACATCTCCTTCGCCTTTGCACTCCAGCTGCATGCCTTTGCCAATGTGGAGCCTGAGAAATGGTCAGAAAAGTGAGACATTACCAAAACTTTGCATTACTGTCAATCCCTTATCATACCTACAACATGCAGTGAATATGAATTGCTTGTAGGTTCAATAAGATGATACATCTCCCGGTATGTGGGGGTAATACCTGGCTCTCTCTATGTTCTCTGTCCTGTGGACATTGCTCAGCTGGCCCAAGCAGAAGCGGTCCCCTCCTGACGGATCGACGTAGCCGTCCACAGTCACTGTCGGACACGTGGACAGCACCTTAAAGGTCTCCCCGACCTGGACATCCATCTCGAAGTACGCAATGGAGCACCAGTATTCTGGAGCTGGAACAGACCAGCACACAACCACAGGTCAGATTGGTTACACTGATGTAAAATACGTGGATCGTCTTTCAGCTGCAGCTCAATGCTCACCAGGGTGATTGGATATGGGGGGCTGGAACGCAATGTCGTTGGTAACAGGCCCTGCAATAACATGTCAACATTATCGTTTTAACAAGCAATTCTGAAACTACACCACTTCTTAACATGCGACATGTTATCAAGATGCTGAACATTAGCGAATACAAAGTCTGCTGGAGAAAACAGTTTTGTTCTGAGACACATATCACTTTTACACAACTTATACATGCGTTACATTCCCTTCCCGTGTAAATTATCTTAACATAAAAACCATCTTAGACGGTTCTAACAGATAAGAGAAAGGATAACGACTATTTTGAATGCTGGGTGTGAGCAGAATTTCCATCCACTCACAATAATGCCCCGTGTGAGGCATGGGGGGATGATGCTGAAGATGCCCATTTTGATGTTGTGGTACTGCAGAGGTAAAGCTGCTGTTTCTGCTCCAACTGGGGTTAGGATCTGTAAATATAAATAATTGAATAGTTGTGTTTGCCCAATTTGTGCCAAGTTGAAGTATGTGTGGTAGTTCAGGTCATAATACATAAAATAGTTGTTTATTGCATTAAATATTGCATTCAAACTTAACAGGCAATCCCTTCTAAAATTGTGTTTTTAATACTTTAACAGTATTCTTTACTTGATTGCATTACGTTAAGAGAGTGCATATTTTATTATGTTTTGCATAGATATGTAGTCCCTGTGCAGTGTCTCACTTGAGGGTCCAGCACCGAAAGCAGAGGTTGAGGCTGAAATGCTGCCGTCTGATGGGGGGAGCAGAGTGGGGTTGATGAAGCTCTCCTGTGGACTGGGCCTTGACGAGGGGTGCTGGATGATCTGCAGGTGGCTTTCAGAGCTTGGGTGACATTGCTGGTTGTCATAGTCATAGTCATACTCATTCTTCACCAGGAGTGGAACTACAGGATGAGAGCAGACAAAAGGTGAAACTAAAAAGGACATCCACAAAATCTTCAACGTGCAAACAGGAAAAATTTGGCACCTGCTTACCTGAACTTGAAAGGGTCAGCCCTGATAAGTCTGCAAAACATGAAAAAAAAAAAACATATGTCACTCGACCAGTTGATCTATATTTCTCAATAACCTAAAACAGTATGAAGTCAAGACTAAGAACCCTGTGAGGCTTACTTACCAATGCCTGGAGACACGACCCTCTCGTAGTGGTATGGGTTGACGCAAACATTGTCACATTTCAAGTCAAAGGCATACTGGCAATATTTGACATGTTTTAACTCATTCTTGTGTAGGTCAGGCCATCGCCACAGTCGGGCATAGACAACGTGGGGGAAACCTTTGCGCCCTGCAACCTAAAGCACAGATAGGAAGATATAACGAGATGGATACAAGGAGCATACCATCAAACCAACTCGGTATAGTGTATATCTGCTACTATACCTGTAGGCGTCCATCCAAAGTTCTCTGTATGGTTACACACTTGCTCGGGTGAGCCCCATTTGTAGTGATGGCTGTGATGAGGGAGTCGAGCTCATCTTTCTTCTCCTTAAGCTTCTTGACGAGACTCTCAATCGCTCGCTTAGCAAAGCTTTCACTCTCCCCTCCCTGTCGGTGGCACATCAGGCTGTGCACAATGCTCAAACAGGCATCGTTACTTGTGGGAGTGTTTGTGATCGACATCTTGCTCCTCGGGTTTCAGCCTTGAGGAGACGTTCAAGTTGTGTCCTTTATGCCTTAAGTGTGAAGGTGAAAGTACTCTTGCAGTACTGTACCTTGGCAACCTAAAACAGAAAGTGCAGTGTCTTATTATTGAGAGTTTCGATGGTATGCCAACCAACATTAACATTGCATTAGGACTACATCAAGTGGCACTCAATTTACAAACTGTGTATCACCATGACTAGATTGTAAGGAGAGAAGGGTTAATCAATCTTCAAAGCCAATCTAATGTACCTTTAAAATGACTGATGACACTTAGCCACAGTTGGAGAAAATAGTTTTCGGGCAACTTCCAAAACCTCTACAGATATACATATTTTGGGCATTTGTCATGTACTACTCTGTTAACATTCACACATTAATTACTGTGTTTTCTCAATGTATTTAGTTGGTTTATTATAATAACATTAAGGTATATGAACATTTGGTAAAAACAAGGTTTTTAAGAGCATTTCACAGCAAACGTAGCTAACGTTAGCACAGATGCGATAGCTAAGCTAACTAATACGCACGGGTAACGTTAGCGCATAACAGTGTCTCAGTAGCTTAGTGTGTAACCCAACCTGGCCTAAATTATAATGTTCAGTTATAACATGCCACTATATAATTAAATACATATGTGTAGTATGTCTACAACGGCTAAGGAGTATTGAGCTAGCTAGCATTGCTCAGCTAATGTTGAGTAACTAGCTAAATGTGTTGGCGTTAGCTATCGCTAGGCTTGCCGTAAAACACCGTTAGCGAACGCTACCTTAACACAAACGTATTTATCCGCTCCGTAGCCTTAGTCCCAGTGGTGCAAGATGACAAATGAGTGACTTTAGCTACTTAGCTAAATGTTTATATGCTTTCTAGCGTGTGCTATCGTGTGTTAATTATATTTAGGCTAGCTTGCTAGCACATACGCTAACAGCTAGCTAACGCTACAACTCAACTTCACGCTGGCTCGCTGGCTAACCTTCTATGATGGCCCAAAATCCGTTACCTCGTGTGCGTACCCGTGTATGTGTAGTCCTCATCACACGACTACTGTATGAAGAAAATACATAATAATAATAATATTCCAACACATTTATGGTTAACTGGCCACGAAAATAAACAAAAAATGATCCCCACCCACCACGCTCCAACTGCGCATGCACGCGTAAAATGTGACAGGCGTGGCGCTGCTAGTTGTTATTGTATTTGTAAAATCAAAACCCCTTAGTTATTGCAAGCCATATGCATACATATATATATATATATATATATATATATATATATATATATACATACAGTGCCTTACATAAGTATACTTATTCACGCCCCTTGAATAAAATATTTTTAATTGGATTGTATGTACTGGATCTACACAAAATAGTGAAATAGAAGAAGAAAAGAGCAATTGAAAAGCAATTTGTTGGATGTTGCATTTGTGTTCACCCTCCTTTGCTATTACGCCCGTAAATAAGCTCTGGTGCAATTATTTGGCTTCAGAAGTCACGTAATCAGTTAAATTAAGTTCACCTGTGTGCAATCCAAGTGTCACATGATCTAACGGAGCACCATTTTACCATCAGTTATTAAAGAATGGAATATGGCACCACAACAAATTTGCCAAGAGAGGACTATTGTGGCGTGATGGATTTTATTGTAATATAAAGTCTCCCCCTTGTGGTTATAACATAGTGTGACATAACATTAATAAAAACAGTCCCCTGTCTAGTTCTCTCTCGTGCTCTCTTCTTCATATCTCCCAGTGAGATTATCCATGTGTTTATCATTTAAAGTTGGCCTCCCATGAACAGCAATATAGCTTTGTTGCTTAAGAGCGATGAACAAAGCTGCCATCACACAAACCTGCTCAGCTGTGTTGTTGACCATGTGAGAGTTAGGGAAAGCGACTGATACCTTAAAAAAAAGCAACATTTTGTATCATTTAATGTGTCTTTTCATCAACAGTGAAAATATTTGTCATAACTTTGAACTTGGCTGTCAATGTTCAAAAGGAGCAGTTATATGCTTCTGTTTTCCATAAATAAAATCAGTACAGCATCATAGTAAATACAGAAAGGAGTGTTCAAGCTGGCAAAACAAACAAAACATGATTTTTTTTAAATATATTTTGTTATGATTGCCATAAATATATTGCGAAATTGAGGCAAGAGTATTGTAGTTGTTTTCCCATTCAAAAGGGGAGTCAGAAGAAAATATGAATCATGTGGGGGAGGGTCTTGGCTTTTTATACAATGAAATATAAGATTCATCCCCTTCTCCTCGCTCCAAGTTTTTTTGGACAGTCCCCAAAATACAGCAAGCTGATGAACAAAGAATTCAATGAAGAAATCAATTTGTTAACTGCCAGTTGATATCTCTGCCCTGCACACTTGGCCTATGTAAATCTGTGTGCTGACTGAGGATCCCATTAAGTTTGAAAGTTCAACAGTGTTATTCCATCATTGTTATCTGCTTCCGACTGTTAACAGCAGAAGCAAGGTGATGATGTGACATGTAATTTTTCCATTTGTACGGTTGCTGTGGCCGTGATAAGGGCCTCAGCATACCCGTGTCAGAAAAGGGAAGTGGGAGGGTTCAGAGGCCACCAAGCAACATCATGGCAGGATTGTCAATAGAGCACGTTGGCGTTGGACACCAGGAATCTGACACCACCTCACCTCACAAATGCTGCCACTTGGAGTGGCGTCTCATCCTGAGTGACAGTCTACAAGACTCCAGGCTCTGACACCTCGTTATCACTGTGGCATGGAGGCAGGCAGAGAGAGGCCCGCCAGGCATGTGACACGAGAGGAATGGGGATTAAGGTTGTTAGGTAGGGAATGCTGTGATTACCTGACAATGACACGGGGTGTACAAGAGATCAAAACTTGCTCAGTGACTAGTTTTTATGTCAGGTATTTTATTTTTACAACCATAATAACATTAATATTGGTGCGAGAACCAAAAGCAGGATATGAATGGCTGGGGTGCGAGGAAAGATTTCACAGCAGTTGACAGAGATGTTAGAGACATTTTTCATACAAGAAGCCTCCAAGAGCTCCAAGACACAGAGAAAATCCTCTCCTGGTTAGAAGCCAGAGGAAATATATTTCCTGCAAGTTTGGCAAGCAAATACGAGGAAATGTGTCACATTCTATAAATCATTGCAACGGCTCAAACATACCACAGGGCACAGAAAAAAATTATACCATTTACAAATCTGCAGCATGTATATTCACCTATAAATCATTTTGGCAAGACTATGATTCAATTACATTTAAGAGACTTTTTGTATTTAAAAAAAAAAACATACAGCATCCTATAAGTAGTGCAAGTCATTGTAATCTGGTGGCTATCCTAAAATGTTGATTTTTTTCCATTCTGTTTGAATAAGATGGAAAAAAGAGAAAGTTTTGAGAAAGGTCTGTGATGAAAGGTCAGCGATAAAACATTTAGATGTTGGTATGATGCGAGTATACTCTGTTCCAGCACCCACACTGAAATAACCCAAAAAAACAAACTTCACTTTTGTCAGATTGAAACTTTGCACATCTTTTGTGCTTCAACCTTTTAGACCCCATTTCCATATTATATTATTCGATTATTGTAACTGATATCAGTGCTGCAGTATTGAAACTTTTGACTCACCCTGAACAACAGGGAGCTCACACGTCATCAGAAACAGCTTGAAGAGAAGTTTCTACCAGAATGTTCAGACATCTGTTGTCATAACTTTCTTTTCTGCTCTTCTTTTTTTCTGTCACTGTGTCGGATGGAACTGATGCCATATTTGCAAGAATATGGCCTGTGATTGACAGTGAATTGTGGAAATCCAAAAGCGTTCTAAAATACAAAAAAATATAATAAATCATGACTGACAGATTTATATTCTACACTAATATATCATAAACCAATTTACCTTTATACAATTACAAATGTACATCTTGTAGCACAGACATGTGTCCATCCCTAATTTAGAACTAGTCTAGGCTCGTGTTTTTTACACAACACTGTACTGTGCAAACAAGCACATGATAAGATAGATAGATAGATAGATAGATGGACAGACAGACAGACAGATAGATAGATAGATAGATAGATAGATAGATAGATAGATAGATAGATAGATAGATAGATGGACGGACAGACAGACAGACAGATAGATAGATAGATAGATAGATAGATAGATAGATAGATAGATAGATAGATAGATAGATAGATAGATAGATGGACAGACAGACAGACAGATAGATAGATAGATAGATAGATAGATAGATGGACAGACAGACAGACAGACAGACAGACAGACAGATAGATAGATAGATAGATAGATAGATAGATAGATAGATAGATAGATAGATAAATAGATAAATAGATGTGTTTCTGAGATGACGATTGAAACATCAGTGAACAGTCTCTATCTCTGTGTAAATGTTCTCAGGGCTATCTACAGCCACACTCTGCCACCACCATTCCCTCATACTTGTGGTTGAAAGTGATCACCCCGTTGTCATGATAAAGGAGTGAGATAGGCTCCAACTTAGTGGGTACACAGCAGGCACGCGATGCTCTCTCCGGACTCTTAACACTCAGCAGTGTCTGCACTATGGCATGTTTGGTAGGCGAGACCTCGGAGGTCAACGGTGGGTTGCACACACCGTTGCACTCATACGCCTCATAGCCCAACGGTTGGATGATCCACGTGTCCCAGCCAATGTCTTTAAAATCCACAAAGAGCGGGGTCCTCTTGCAGGGCTCGCTCTTAACATTGCGACGGATTCGGGGAGGTGCGTCATAGATAAGGTTGGACTGCAGTTGTGTGAGAGACTGTTTGTCCTGCTCGTCCTGATTGCCGTAGCCAGCGTTGTGATTAACGTGCCCCCAGAAAGCTTGTTGGCTCCGGCCCACGTTTTCAGGAAGGTCATTCTCGTGCTCAATCATCTGGTCGAGCTCTTGTTTATCCTGTTTGTGGCTTCTACTCTGATCATCTGAGAATATAATAATCACCGCATTGTGTTTCCCCTCCAAGCTCCTGTTGATACCAACCTCGACCAACCTCTCGCCCTGCCCTGCGACCTCTTGTTTGGCCCCTTCCTCTTCTGATCCCACACTTGCAACATGAACCTCCAGTCTGTGAGTTGCACAACCTGACTTCCACCAGAGTGCAACCACATGAGTCAGATCAAACGACACCCAGCTGTTATCTTTGGCACGGATATGCTTTGTCACCAGTTCCTCCAAATCCTTCATCTCCACCACCTCCTCTTTATCCCTCCTTCTCTCTTCTTTCCCCACCTCTTTAGTCCAAATGACGCCCTCGTGTATTTTGTAGATGGTCACCTTGCAGTCAATGCCAGCATGTGGTCTTTGGGCCTTATGGAACAGGGTGAAAAGGCGAAGCTCAGCTATTGTTATGTGCTCATTGTGGCTCATTGAGATGTTGAATAGCAGGGGGTATATCCTCACACCCCTGGCCGTTATACTGTCGGGGGAAACATCTGAAATAACAAAATAACAAAAAGTGTGTGGAAATTAGTTTTTGTATGTTTCCTTGGTCAAAACACAAGTTAAACTATGTTGAATATTAAACCCTTGTACCCTTACACATCCTATCAAATAAACATAATATATGTTTTTGGTTTGAATCATAATACTCATCGTCAAAGCTTGGTTCAAGTGCAGCTTCATTTTTTCAATCACAACAATTAACTCGATGTACAATACTTTGAAATCCATAAATTAAAGCAATCTAAATCTTTAAATCATAAAATTATTAGAATATCAAACATGATCCCAATGCTCCTTCAAATGAGTTTACAGCTTACTTCAAAAGAAGAAAAGAAAATCAACACAAAGTTTAAAAAAATGTATGCATATATACAATTCCCAAGATTTTTTTAGTGTCGAATAAAAACAAGATTGTACCTTCGTTCTTGAAACTGCGCACAACGTTGGCTGAGGGCACAGCAG